CCTAGTTGTTTATATCCTTTGACTATCTCTTGCGGAATAGCTTTTAGTCTTAAAAATTTGAATCAGTTTCTTACATATCTTGGATTTGAGACATTTATCAGATAAACTTGCTGCAAAGATTTTTCCTCATTACCTGTTTACCTTCTAATTTTGACTGCATTACATTTGTACAAACTCTTTGAAATTTTATATAATCAAATTGTCCATTTTATCCAGAACACACTGTTCTCAGTGGCAGCTATTATTATCATTATTATATTCTTTTGAATGTTGCTTTGTATTGTTCTTGGGTCCTTTCATGTATATATTTGTCTCCTCTGGCATTTATGTTTTTTGAGTTCAGTTTTTGAGTTACTGTCATATCTCCATTGTATTTCCAATAGCACCTAGTACTTTTTGCTAAATACTGTGTAGCAGGAGTTCAGTAACTTCTCATATATTGAACCACCTGCGGTGTACTGGTTTGCTAAGGCAACAAAATAAGCATTACACAGGTAGTCTCTATGTCTCACATAACCCATTAACAGCAAACACCTCTTAAGGTTCATTTTTGCATTTGAGTTTTGCTTTATTTTTCTTTTCTATTTTTCTTATTTGGTAGATTCACTGCTGTGGAGGCGGTGTTGGAGATGAGGTGGAGGTAACAGCTAGAAACAGAAGTTTGCTGAAGGAGAGGATTTTCAACAACCTACCTAATCTGGAATGGCTTCCTGCATGAGTCAGGGTAGATTTGAAGAAGGTTTTGAATTAGGCAACAGAAATATGGAGGCTATTATTATTATTTCAGGCATATGGGACAGTGTGGAAAGGTGTTGAACAGTAATTTCCAAACTTCCTGGAGTCTCCCTACTCTTTTTTAAAAATTGACACACTTCCCCCTTCCACACCTACTCAAAAGTGCCAAGTTGCATTTATTTTTGTTATTATAATTATGAATGAAAAATAATTTTGCTTTGAAACATTCTAGAATCTACAAAACTGTTTGAGACAGTTGGAGAATAGTATGGCCAAAAACCTGTGTTGGAAAATACTGGGTACAATCTGAAATTTAGGAAATAAAAAAAAGAGTGCTAAGGTAAAATTTGATGATGATATTGTAACGGAAACAGGAGAGAAGATGAATTCTGGAGGTTCCTTTCAGCCCTAGGTCCCTAGGATGGGGCTATTTTATAATTAGTTTCTTGATAATTATTCTAGGATCCTAATATAAAATTATACATGTGCAAATATATATTGTGATGTATCTTTGTATACACACAAATATGGAACAAGTATTTCAAGTCAACTGAATTCAGAAACGCATTTATTAAAAACCTACTGTGCAAAGCATTGTGCTGGATTCTGGGGATAAAGACAAAAATGAAACAATTCCTCCATTCAAGATTCTTATATTCTACTTGGGGTAAGCAACATTTATACAGATAAGTAAAAAAAAAATACACACACACACATAGACAGATAGAGAGAGACAAACAGACAGATAGATTGATAAATGTAAAGTAATTTCAGAGAGAAAGATACTAACAACTGGAAGGATTACTAAAGGCCTCCTTATAGGAAGTAGCACTTGAGCTAAGCCTTGAAGGGAGCTAGAGACACCAAGCGCAGAGGCAAAGAGGCAGAGGATTCCACTCGGAGCAGGGAAAAGAGGTAGAATGTTAGGTCTAAGAAAGAGCAAGCAGGTCAGGTCGAGAGAGTGGTAAGGTGCATAGGTGGAGTAATGTGAAATCAGTCTAGCTTGGGATTCATAATCTTTTTTGTGTCACCACCTTCCTTTGGCAGTCTGATGAAACTTATGGACTCCTTCTCAAAATAATGTTTTTAAATACGTAAAATAAAATGTATAGGCTTACAAAGAAGCCAATTTTATTAGCTTATATAGAACTATATGACAATATATAATATATATATGTATATATAGCAACATGAAAAAATGTGTGTGTGTATATATATATATATATATTTTTTTTTAAAGTTCACAGACATCAAGTTAAGAACCTCTGGTCTAGAAAAATAGATCAGAACCAGATTTTGGGGGAGATATAAATGGCAAACAGAAGAGTTTGTACTTTATATTAGAAGCAATAGGGAACCACCAAAGCTTCTTGGATCAGTAGAATGATATGTCAGACCTGTGTTCTAGAAATATCGATTTGGTATCCATGTTAGGGATTGTGGGTGGGGGGGGCGAGAAGAGATGAAGGGAGACCAGTTAGAAGGTTGTTGGAGAAAGAGGAGAGGAGAAACAATAAAAGCCATGACTAAAGTGATTACCATGTGAGAGGAGAGAAGGGGACAGATATGAAAGGTATCATGGAGGTAAAACTGACAAAATGTGACAACTGATGGGCTATGGGAGAAGGGAAGACTTTAGGGGAATGAAGAGCCAAGGATGACACCAAGGTTGCCAAACTCTATGTCTAGAAATATGGTGGTACCTCTGATAGAAATAGGAGTATTGTAGAAAGATAACGAGTTCTCTTTTGAATATGTTGAATTTGAGGTAACAATAGGATATCCAGGAGAAGATATCCAGTTGGTAACATGGGACAAGGGCTCAGGACAGAGGTGAAGGCTGAAAATGTAGATCTTCGAGTCATTTGTAGAGAGGTGATAATTCAATCCACTGGAGCAGATGAGATCACTAAAATTAAAATATTGGAATTTTAAAACTTAAAATTAAAATTTTAAGTTTTAAAATACTGGAATGATACAGCTATCATAATTATGGTAAGGAAAAAGTTATCTAGTCAGTAAAAAGGTTACAGGAGATAAAGTATATTGATTTAATTGTGCTATAAAAGTTTCACACAACAAAAAATGCATACAGAATTAAAAAGAAACAAATGGAAAAAACTTGATCTTATAAACATTGTTGATAAAAATTATAATCCAAGAGCAATAAGGGATTTAGACAATTGTATAAGTACCTTCCAACAGAGGATGTATACTGCATACAAAGGAAATGAATGGTGATTTCTTCTATATTTTGTCATTTTATCAGTAATAACTATTACGCTGGTAAATGGGTGGATTAAAAAATTGTTAAAACTTTTGAATGCTTCTAGGAATAGTCAACCTGTGCTGTCTGAGGCAATATGGGGTAAAAATGGTAAGTTTTCTACATTCATTACTCTTTCCAACTGAACTCTTATTTCCCACTTTTTTTTTTCATTTCCCTGATTGCTTTCATTTACTTTTCTTTTTAATGTCTCCTCTACTACATATTTCTTAAGCCAACCACAAGCATTGTTCAATGCCAGGGTGACACTTAGGACTGAAGAACTTGTTCACCATCACCTTTTCCCTTTACCTACTCAGTTGTCAAATTGATTCCTTCATCCACTCCCCTTCTAGCAACATCATTTGTAATTTTAAGTCAGCCTTCTTAGTTATATCCTAACCTTTAAAAAAAATTCTTTGTAATGAATCAGGAACAATAAGTGATAGTTGCAGAGACGAAAACTTAGGCATGACGTAAGAAAAAACTGCTTAACAAGTACAGCTGTGCCAGAGTGGCCACCTTGGGAAGTAGTGGGGTTCCACCTCACTTGCCTTCTGGCAAAGACAAGTGGGTGACCATTTGTCACATATGTTGCCATTGTCTTTTAATTCTCTTGGCCTTTCCAGTAAAAAGGAAAATGACAGTTTAGAAAGGTAGTTGGCAGTGTTGTTAGTGATGTAATGGAAAGAGCACTGGACTGGAAGTCAGACCTGGTTTTGAGTCTTTGCCCTCTAAGTTTACTGGATTTGTGACCATTGAGTAAAATCAGTTAACTTATCTGAGCCTCAGCTTCTTTTTCTATGAAGTGAGGACTTCTACTTACTTAACAGGATTTTTGTGAGAAAAGCAAACGTACATGTTTAAATTAATGGGAAGATTACTAAAAGTCAGAACTGGATTCTAGTGTCACTTTTCCTTTTGACTAGCTGTGACATTAGGCAGGTCACTTCATTTCTTTGGGTCTATTTCTTACCTGTAAAATGAGGAGGTTGAACTAGATAATGGTATCCAAGGACCCTTCCAGAATGTGTGATTGTAGCTATTATTAAAAATTCAGAAAATTCCAGCAAACTAAGACGTATTCAAGGGTAATATGCTAATTTGTTACCAGAGGTCACAAACTGTGTCATAAAACTAGCATTCTTTTAATCACCACATATAGGTATGAAAAAGTATAAATGCTACACAATTTCTTCCAGAATCAAGGACGATTTATGCAAAGAATGATACTGGAAAAGTTCTGCCAGCAGTGAAGAACTCTGCTGGACTCCCAATTCGAACAGTTCTCCAAGGTCAATCAACTAATTAATCAACCAACAACCATTTACTAAACTCCAGCTAGGTACCAGGCACTGTGCTAGGTGTTGAGGATCCAGTGGACACAAATCAAATTCCTTCTTTTCTGATAGCCCCAAATCCACTTTCTGCGAGGACACGCCATTCATTGTCCTTTGCCTCCTCTGCGGAGATGCTCTCCCCGGGTCCTTGCGTTGCTTTAGCCTTTGCACCCTGGGGCCAGCATGTTGCCTGAGGTCGTGGGGACTTAAGATTGTGCATATGGGGGGAGAGATAGGCTGGAGAGATCCTCGACCCTCCTCTCCTTCGTCTCTATCTCTTCCCTCCCCTCTCCTTGCCCAGGGCTGACGCCCTTAGTGTGTAAGGAGTGGGTGATGCCGAGAACCCTGTATCCCCCACTGCGTTCTGAACGCCGCCTTCGCCCATCGCCCCTCTGTAAGCTACGACCCTGTCACCGCTCTTCCCGTCTCCCTCCGCCCACCGGCCAGAGAAACAAGTACATGAGCCAGGTCGAGCTACAGGAAGGTGTGTCCGCTCCCCGCCCCCAGCCCCAGTCCCTGCAGTAGGCGCGCTAGCAAATCCAGCCAACCCGTCCGCCCGCCCGCCCGCGAGCTCCAAAGAGAACAGCGGGTAGCTCCCGAAACCGCGGCCGCCGGATGTGGGGGCGCGTCACTTCCGGGCGGTGCAGCAGCGGCCGCTCGGAAGATGGCTGCGCCCTGTGGCTCGGAGCTGCCCACCGACTCGCCACTGAAGATCCCGAAGATGGAGGTGCTGTCCCCGGCCTCTCCGGGCGGCCTGAGCGATGGGAACCCATCCCTGTCCGACCCTTCCACGCCCAGCGGCGCCTCCCCGCTCGGATCCGGCAGCGCGGCTGGCTCGGGGACAGCGACGGCGGCGTCTGGGGCCGGGGGACTGGGGCTGGGGGCCCGCAGCGCCGCCTCGTCCTCGGTCTCCTTTTCCCCCGGCGGCGGCGGCGGGGCCGCAGCAGCTGCCGCCGCTGCCTGCCGGGGCATGTCGTGGACCCCGGCCGAGACCAACGCTCTGATAGCTGTGTGGGGCAACGAGCGGCTGGTGGAGGCGCGGTACCAGCAGCTGGAGGGAGCCGGCACGGTGTTCGGCAGCAAGGCCCCTGGGCCAGCCATGTACGAGCGCGTGTCCCGGGCCCTGGCCGAGCTGGGCTACGAGCGGACCCCGTCCCAGTGCCGGGAGCGCATCAAGGTAACCGGCCGCCCGGCCCGGGGCAGCGAACCAGATACACTGAGAGAAGGCGGGGAAGCCGGCCTCGGGGGGCGGGGGCTGGGGCTGGGCTGTCCGCGGAGCTTCCCTCCGGGGCCGGGGGGCGGTTCGTATCCCCTCCGCCTTTCTCTTCTCCCCTTGGGGAGGGGACTTTTTCAGGAGGCCCGCAAGGCCTCGGGTCTTCTGGGTGTGAACTTAAATGTCCCTACCGCCGCCGCCCCCTTCTTTCTTGCCAATTTGGATGCTCCAGCTCTCCGAAGTTGGTGGGTTTTCATTGTGTGCTGAGCGGCGGTCCTCGCGCTGCAGGCGCCTCTCTCCCCCCAGCACCGGGGCCCCTTGCTTTGTTCCATACTGACGGGCTCCCAGGGTCGGAGGCGGGGTTGGGGAAAGGGAGAGGAGGGGGGAGATGAGCTCCCATTCTGGGTTTCCCAGTGAGTGGCGGAGCCATACTCACAAAAAGAGCTCTCTAGGACTACTGGCCTTTGTGTCAGTTGCAGTACCTCCAACTTGAGCTGCCAGCGGGGCTAGTAGGATTCCAGATGCCTTGGAAAGAGCTGCTGGCAGCCCAATCTTGTATTGTTACTGTGGCAAGTTAGTGGGCACAAAGATACCCAGACTTGGAATTTGGAAGGAATGTGGAGTGAGACTGTTGTTCCCTTGGCTTGAGACTTTCTAACATTTCTAATCAGGCCACTTCAATGAAAGCCATCCTTTTCCTCCTCTAGGTAGATACTGAGGTATATTTGTAGTAACAGGCAAAAAGCCTCATGAGTCTTGAATTTCTTTAAAATGCCATAGGCATTTTAATGTTTAGGTCCTTTTAATCTCGACCAGAAGTTTCACATTTGGGAAGGGTTCTTTACTAATTTGCAGTTTTTAAACCTGTGGGCTCCAGTTTTCTTGATACTGATATTAGTTGAATCAGTTTGTGATTACAAACCTATAGTGCCCACCGGAGTTAAGATTCAGATGAGGATCCATTTTCCCAAGCTTCCCCGAATGAAAGGCTTTCTGTTAATTTAGGGATGGTGTGCCTACTTCAACCCCAGGTTCAATAAAACTCTTAACATTTGTGACTGAGGCTGTTTTTCTCTTGTGTGTATTATTTGCTTATGGTTTTAAAGACAGTGAAAATTCTTTTTGGATTAGGGTCTTTTTTAAAGCCTATCTGATGGATTCAGAAAAGTATAATTTAGAAAATTTTGGCCATGACCAAAACCAAAGGCATTTCAAATCTTATCAAATACTGTTCTGGAACTCTGCCAGTTACTTCTTTTATTCTATGTTGATTTTATTCGTAGTGTCCTCGACTTTTTTTCAAAAGTCTTTTACTTCTGTTCTGTAAAGCATTTACTGTGTTCTGGGCACTGTGCTGGCTGCTGAGAATACGAAGTTTAAAAGCAACATAATCCCTCCTCAGCCCTCAAGGAATTTACATTTTACTTTATCTGCCCCATCGGAGCCCAAATAAGTAGAGGGGGTGTGAAGTGGGGGAGGGGAAGCAAAGCAATGATCAAAATTCAGTAGGAAAATTTGAGGGGGGAGACATTATTATTCCTATTGTTTTGTAAGAAATTTGAGCTACTATTATTAAATCTAACGAACAAGTAATAAATCTTTATCAGTATTTGATTCAGTCAGTTAATGGTCAAGGTCATTGAAGTTAGAAATTTGGGGAGATCCCAAATTTCTAATTATTAATACATTTAACAGAATTAATTAATCACTGTCAATGGTATGCAGTATACCATTCTCCAGTTTAAGTTCCCCCTTAGGGATACACCCAGACCCTAAAATCTGACCCATCTGAATTCTTTTGTAAGGGAATTCCAAGACTGATGGAAAATTGTTGAGCATGCTGTGCCATCATTGAATCTACTGAACATGAACAATTCCACTCTAAATCTAACCCCTGAAATATCCAAATATCATTCAATCAGTTTTCTCCACTGTCCCAGTCTGAGAGAGGTGAAGTAGTAAAGGAAACTCCACAGTCTTACTAATTTGGTTTAAGAAGATATATATATCCATACAAATGAGAATGGCCAAGGTGTCCTCTCAAACTCCTCATATATAGGAGGTTATTAAAAAAAAGTTAGACTTTAGTGTCCCTTAGTTCTACCAACACAATACTACTCATTCCTTTGAAGTTCTGTTCTGATGTCTTCAGTGCTGTGTGGAGGTGGTTCTAGGGTCTCAAAGGTTAGGCAAGTATAACACAAGTTCTTGTAGCTTCTGCCAAGTTGGGCAGGCTTTGGAATGTGTAATAACAGACTATATGTGTATTGTCCTAGAACTAGCCCAGTCAGACTCATCACTTTTTTAGTTACAGGAGGATTAATTTTTTCAGTCATATCAACTCTTGAAGATCTTCTACTAAATAGAGGGTTTGGGAACTTTGTGGAGGGAGTTACACCTAAGGAAAACAAATTCTTTAAGTATCAAAGTAGTACTACACTTGGAATTATTCCTAAGTTGGGCAAGCATAGCTAAACTGCCTCTGTTAATTACTTTGTTTAAAACAACGACAAAACAACCGAGACTTTACTAACAAAAGACTGGATAGAGAACTTTGATAAACTTGTGCTATACTGTTAGGACAGTATTCATTTTTAAATTTAAAAAACATGTTGAATTATACTACCTGAAAATCCATTCAGAAATAAATTCATCTCCTTGTAAAGACTTTTTAAGGGGAGTGATGGATTCTGCAAATTTGGCTTTTAAATTTTGATGCAAGCAAATGACTTGCAAAAAAAGGTGGAAAATGAAGGACTCCTTGCATGGATTAGAGTAGTTACCTGAGAACTTCTGATGAAAAAGAAATTTGTGAGGGGCAGCTAGGTGGCGCAGTGGATAGAGCACCGGCCCTGGAGTCAGGAGGACCTGAGTTCAAATCTGCCCTCAAACCAAACACTTGACACTTAACTAGCTGTGTGACCCTGGGCAAGTCACTTAGCCCCATTGCCTAATAAAAAGATTTGTGTAGGGCAGAAACAAAATAGGATGAATATAGTATCTATCCATGACATGTCAAATTACTGTAAACTGCAAGCCTTGGAGAGTTTAGTTTTCCAGCCAACTTAAAATCCATACTCTAGTCAGGTAAGGTGAATCTATCTACTTGATAATCTTTATCTCATCCTACCAAATAAAGACAAATATTGATCCCAGTTGGATGTAGCTAATAATAAGTTAGTTTTTTTCCAAGTAGTCTAATATTGTATTTCAAGGACAGACAGAATTTTGATCTGATGTAAATAGCTGGCTATTGCTGCATAGCTCTTATCTATTAATCTTTTGAAAATTATAAACTTAATTGCCACCAACACAAATAATTGAATAAACACACAAGCATCTTATGTAAAACTCTTAGAATTTTATAAATTAGAACCAAATGAATTAATACAATAAACCAGCAAAAATGTCCTGCTTATGCCCTTTTCCAGTTCCATCTGAAGTTCCACTAGCTTTGTCTTTGTCTTTTTACGACATTGTAGTCACTAATTGTAGTTCTGGAATCTTGCTTTGCATCGTTTCAAGTAGATTTTTCCATATTTCTGTACATTCTTCGTATTTATCATTTACATAACACCTGTTTAATGATGTAGATTATTATCCTAATCTTGGTGTGGAAATATTTCACAGTTTAACAAGATCTGACTTGATTATTCTGAAAAATATTTATTTGCCAAAAAGATGAAAATTACTGTTTTTAGGTGGCCTAATCTTGAATCCAGTCTTGTTCTTTGCAAGCCCATTTATTCACATCCATTTATTGACGGAGTACTCTGAATATATTTAAAACACAAGTTTCTCTGGGTGATCCAAAGAAATATACTTGAATACTTAAATAACTCCGTGGTCTCCTTGATAAGAGATGCTTTCTTAAACAGTAACGGTTGCTGCATAGCCATGCTTCTTATCCTGTGCAGTTCCTGTCCATGACCTCATAGAAGGACAGGTCACCACAGATGAGCTCCCCACCTTTCTCAACCCAGTCTTCCTCTAGGTTTGTAAACATCTTTTATGTAAGAGTGTACATACTATTAGCGTATATGGTGTACAGCACTAGGGCTATGCACTTGTAATCTAATAAAATAAATACCTCCTTCGACTGAGTATAAAATTGTATTTACTTCTTTTAAAGTATCTTCAGATTTATTGTCTCATTTGATGCTTATGAAAGCCTCCTGAGGTAGTAATTTTTCCTGTGTTCTTTCAGTTTAACTGAATTCCTCCCTAGAGTAAGTTTTGGGAATCTATTTGGGAAAATAACACATACATGAAAAAGATGAGTAACAATACAAGTCAATGAATTCACAAGGTGTCTTAAAGCAGTGCATGATTAAGTTACAGTAAAGGCTATTTTCAGAAAAGAAGAGATAATGTCACAGTTCATACTATGTTAGCAGTTCTTGGCTTTGACACTTTACTCAAACTTTGAATTTATAAAATCATTCACTATTGAGCCAGATGCTGCATTCACACTTCTAGTCAGTTAATCTGATGAGCTGCAAAACTCATTCTCAAGTCCCATGTTTTTGGGCATTCTCCAAAAATTTGCCTCTTGGGAGTTGGCTTTATGTCCATGAAACAGATGTGTACTTCTAGCTTGCCACAAGATGAATGCAAGGTGAATGTATGACCTAAAAAACTTGTCTTTAATGGATCAACATTATTTGCTTAAGAACATGTTTAAAGATAATGGGGTGGGGTTTCTTCTTACCAATCAAAATGGATGATTCTTAAGGATAATTTTTGGATTAATTAAAAATAATTATTACAATACCCAGAATAATTTTTGTGATTCAGTAAACAAATCACCATTTTGCCTAAATTTTAAGTATCATGCCTACCCATCCTTTTGTGAGAATCAGTGCTTTTTTCTTTTTTTTTTTTTAAATCAAAGAAAGATGCTTAGGGCCAAAATTTGCCCTTGTCCTTGAACATGTGGATTCTACAAAAACCTTCTGCCTTAT